AGAACTCCAGAATTTTATGTAACTAGAAACGTTAAGTTAATTTCAATAGACAAAATTTAGTATAAAAAAAGTTAAGGTCATTTAAACTTATAATTGTAATGAGACACTTCATATTTTACAACCTAGCAGAACACAAATTCCCCTTGTAAATTGCAGGTGAACATGACGTTAATTGGAGAGCGAAAATGTTCAAAATGCACCTAGAGAAAAAAATTTTGCACCTTTTTCGAAGTATTGCTTGTATTATTGTATTGTATTGTATTGTATTGTATTAAACATGTATTGTATTAAACATGTAAGATATTAATCATATTATCTTCCACTGACGCTGACAAGCGGAAACTCACAACAACTTTTACGTGAATAGCACTTTTTGCCCACCTCAGAGTAAACCGATACCAGGATACATCACCATTCTGGTGTCAAACTAGTCACATGTTGGAAAACCTCTCTCTGATCCACAAGGGTGGCGACTGTCTGTGTTGGTGACGACATGGTACAGACTTTGGCCAGGCTGGCCACCTCGGGACTCCAGGGAAACACAATGGATAAACTAGCAAAACTCCGAAGAACGGAGAATATGCTGTGGACCGCACAACTAGTGAAGACAGACCGTCCAAGTGTCCAAGTGTGTGTAACGGTGGCAAGCGGAAACTCACAAGAGCTTTTACTTAAATAGCACTTTTTAATAAAGAATGAACTACTTTACTCTGGGAAAACGCAGGGAAAACCGGAATCCTGAATTTTGATTAGAAAGGACACATCCAGGAAAATTTCAGGCGCTGTGTGATCACGCAAGGCCATTTCTGGCTATCTCGGTGGTGCAAAAGTTGGACACAAAATTCAATTTATTAAGAATGTGCTTGACAAGATTTTTGCTAAAATTGGCTGCTACATTTTATTCCTTGGTATCTCTTATTGAGTAGGTGGACGAAATAATTATTGGTTGCAGTACGGCCTTTGCGTTCCTCAAGGTAAACCAGAACGTCGAGATTGGAAAGCCACTTTTCGATCAGGACTTAACTAAGAGTCTACATACTTCACTTTCAGTTCAATTGAATAAGTTACCCCAGCAGCGTCCTCTCATCTGATTGAACGATATTTAATGTTTGAGGATGCCAAGATCGTCAAGAGTTATTGGCCAAGGCCAAAGAAAAAAATGTCAAGCTCCGTTCGGCTGTAGAGGCTGCGACAAATTTGCGGAAGACGAATCTTCCAAAGTAGTCACTCTTGCTGAAGGAGTTCCGCCAAGTTTGTGGAAGGGACAAGGCAGCTGACTATTCCGTCTTCGTATGTTTTGCGGCTACCGGTAGGTTATATTTATTTCAGCTGTTTATGTAATACCAGATGACGGAAACCTTTGAATGTGCAAAGAATATGATGTGAAATGGTAGTAGTATCATATTATGTAATGAAATAACTCATTTTATTAAAATGCCCAAAAATTCCCGGATAATGTGTTACTTAGACGGCATAATAGCGTCTCTTAGAAATTTATTTGAGAAATTTTTTAAGCTTCCCAACGGTTTACCGCATAGTCTTGGCTGTGAGGTGTTCCTGGGTATTGAACTGCAAATTACAGAGGAGAAGTCATCCCCCAGGTAGGGTCTCCAAAGCTGAGAACGACTCCAGCGTTTTCATCAGGAAGCCTAACTAAGAGTAAACCAATACCAGGATCGACCACCGCCCTAGTATCAAAGTCGCATGGTGGCAAATCTCCCTCTGATCCAAAAGGGTTGCGACTGCCTGTGATGGTGTCGACCTCGGGCAGACTTTGGCCAGGCTGTCCTCGGGATTCCATGGAACCATAGTGGCTTAACCAGAAAATCTCCGAAAAATGGAGATTGTACGGGGTACCGCACAACCAATGAAGACGGGCCAATCAAGTATTAAGTAAGTAAATAGACCCTATAGTGATGCGACAATTATGTGATCTCTCAGAATCTAAGCTTTTCAGAGCTCGTATTATGAATTCATGTAGAAAAAATACTACGTTTGGACGAAATTGAACACTACTAAGCCATATGTTTCCAGGAACTTTACACTTCATCAAAAACCAGTTCCGTAGTTTTCAGCGTTCATTGCTAAACCACTAGAACTGTGTGTCTGATGTAAATGATCGATCGATGCCTCTCTTACAATTTCCAGTGATGTCATTAATTTAATACGTACACTCTCTACCGTCAGTGTCGTATAGTTGCCCCGTTAGGTATGTTATCTTACAAACGATCTGATCCGTGTTATCTAAACCCTTTACCTTATCACTCAGTAATTGAGACGCACACGATGACAGGAATTAACGACTATCGAAGGATAGAAATCAGTCTCCTATCAACGCCTATCGTATCCACACTTCCTCCCACCCTGTAGGCTACATAGTTCACTATCCATCAATGAACTGCATATCTTTCAAACTTGCTCAGAATCCCAACACCTTGATACCTAGGCCTCAAAGAACGCACAACTTGCCCACGCGATCGATTCATAACGTTGTACGCATCTACGCCATACACTTTATATTTGTCGTCACATCTCGTGCACTTATCATTATATCAAGCCCCTCCCCTCTGTATTAATTTGTATGCGTTTTTTTTTGACGAGGAGTTGCTATTAGTTTTTACTAGCCTTTAAACTAAAGTGTTCATAGTTGTTATTAGCCATTAAACTAACGTCGTAGCTTAGTGCACGTAAAGCGCGCGTTTCTTTTTCTTGTTTTATAGGGGTTCATGCTATTACGTTGTTCGCTTGCTCTGTCTTGACTTCGTTCAGCTCATTGAAAAATCTGACTTCACATCTTTTCTTTTCCTCGTGTAATCGTATATAATGCAGAATTAGGCGCGTGTGGCGCAGTGGTCCGAGGCGCCCTGCAATACACATGGCATCGATTCCCGCGCTCCTGGCCCCACCAAGCCTTCAATCCCCCGGGGTCGGCAAACTGGTACCAGACTTCTTATTGTCGCTAATTTGGTAACTTATATTAAAAGAGAATATCTGTCTCTTTCCGATGTGTACGCTCCCCCAACTACCATTTCTCATATGCGAATGTTCGCATACTCTGTACACAAGGTTGATAAACTTTATTGGACGCCTTCATCTTCCTCAGAACCGAAAATCAGAGTCTATGTCCATAGTTCTTCGTATTCTCGACATGGTGTCGTCGTATCGAGTCGAATCTTCTTCAATAGTAGAACACCGCTCAAATGAGGTAATCTCATACGACGATGCTCTCTTTTGCAGAACGATTGTTGCAACTGTCAGGCAAGAGCGCGTTTGGCGCAATGGTCGGAGGCGCCCTGCAACACACACGTGGAATCGATTCCCGCGCCTAAGGCCCACCAAGCCTTCCATCCCTCCAAGGTCCGCAAATTGGTGCCAGACTTGTCTGAGAAGTTAGCAGCGCTGGCTCGATACATCGGTAAGCCACTGCGAGTCATTGCAAAGGCGAGATATGCATTCAATCACTCCAACGATACTTAATGAAGTCGAATGCATGGCGCATCCCTCAGGGATTGATCAATGACGAGAGCTTTATCATTTACTTTTAATGCTGGATCACTTATATTTGCAGAAGATATTGTTTTAATTTCAATAAACATATCCGAACAAACATATCATTCGCTATACGTTCGCTAACGTAACTGCAGTTTTCTATGAATTAATGTTGTTGACAGGTCTTTTCTTACGACGCTTACTTTCCACTAGGACCACTTTTATTATACTCTACACTCCTATGTGTATAAAAGGTAAATGGTAAAGTTTTCAGCGTTGATCAATCGCTGATGGATGCGCCATGCATTCGACTTCATCAAGTATCGTTGTAGATGATTCATGCATAGTAATTCCCATGACCGACTTTCTGTTAACCTCGGCATTAATTGATAATTCAATGTTTTTCATCAATAAGCAGACACGAGGTTGTTAATATAGAATTTATTAGAACACAATTGCTGACGTTTCGGCGGTTTCGCCTTCTTCAGAGCCTGGAAAGGTCAAATTGAGATGCGATCTACTCAGCGAAACACTTTCATAACCCTAGCAGATAAAACTTGATAAATCGATTTGCATTCGCATAAGAAACAGCTTCATTCAAACACCTACCGTTTATTTGTTGTAAGTATTTAAGTTAGTTGGTGGATAGCCGCCGCACAGAGTAATACATGGTCGATAACTGGGTCCATGTCAGATCATTGGATCAGCCTGAGGTATGGCGCTAGGTCACGCGTGATGACCCAGTTATCGACCATGTATTACTCTGTGCGGCGGCTATCCACCAACTAACTTAAATACTTACAACAAATAAACGGTAGGTGTTTGAATGAAGCTGTTTCTTATGCGAATACAAATCGATTTATCAAGTTTTATCTGCTAGGGTTATGAAAGTGTTTGGCTGAGTAGATCGCATCTCAATTTGACCTTTCCAGGCTCTGAAGAAGGCGAAACAACCTCGTGTCTGCTTATTGATGAAAAACACTGATTCATGCATATTTGGCCTTTACAATGACACGGTGGTCTACCGATGCATGAACCCAGTGCTGCTATCCTCTCAGACAAGTATAGTACCAATTTGCCGACCCCTAAAGGAGGGAAGGCTTGGTGGGCCTTGGGCGCGGGAGTCGATCCCGTGCGTACTGCATCGCGCCTGCGACCGCTGCAACGCGCGCCCTGCAATAGCAACCTTGTACATGTAATTAGAATAATGTCACAAGTGTAGGTGGTGGGCAGATTGTGCGGATTAACGTGGAAATCGATTGTTCAATAAAAGCCGGAATGTTCTAAGACTTTTCATTTTCTACATTATCAAGAAGAAGTCTTTAAATTGTCATGTTTTCCTATGGTACATCTCTGTTGTTTTTTGAGTGCCGGTCCATTATGCTACTTCTTTTGTGTCCATAACGCATAGTACGATAGTACGCTCTAAAAATCACTTTCATTCGTTCTTTCTACACTTCCTAGAGACTTTCAGGAATTACGTGTACATCACAGTTTTACTCTCGGTAGTAATGTGGGATGTATGGAATGAGTCGTTCTGGTTACCAGAGAACGTCTCGTGGACGGACATGAAAGACTCTGATAGCATACATTATCCTCATGTTGCTGACCTCATCTATACTGTTGTATTTGGTTTTGCACTATTGGTTTGTTTGGTTTTCCACATGATTTCTACTACAATAAATTAGTACTGATACGACTTAAACATTGTTCAGACAATACGGCTCGTTTTGGAATCATTCGTCTTCCTTCCAATCGGATGGTTGGGAGGATGGATTTGCTCACCTTTACTACCACGCATTTGGATGCATATAACAGGGAAGTTATTAGGCACTTTATTTAATCAAGATCATTGATATGCATGGTGCAGTTTTAGGTGGATTTGCGGGGAAAAGTAAATTTAAACGAGTGGCTGAATGTGCTTGGCGTTTATGCTTCTATATTTGTGCATGGATTACAGGGTGAACACCAATTCTTTCGTCTTCCTTACCAACCTTCTAGTATTATTTTATAGTGTTGCGTTGTTCTTAGAATAATACATACAATCATATTTCAGCTTACTGATAATGTTAGGACAGCCACAACTGAAGGATGTGTCCGAATGTTGGAGAGGATGGCCGCATCACAACGTTACCACCCCAACTTGGTGGTATTACATTCTGGAGGCGTCTTTCTACTGGGCTCTTTTGATCGGGTAAGGAACTTATTCTCGTTCTTGTTGCCAATATGGGTCAAATTTATGATAGTTTAAAGGACAGTGTGTATCGATATTCGTCGTGCCGATTTTATGCAGATGACACTCCACCATGCGATCACTATTTTACTGCTTTACATCAGTTGGACGATGAACATGGTTCGAGTAGGAACTCTCGTGCTGTTCGTTCACGATGCAGCTGATATTTTCATGTTTGTGACCAACTCTGTTATCAGTTAACCGTGATACTGCAATTTCTATCAATTTCTTTTAGTGAGATGGCAAAGATTGTACGTTATGCGGAGTGGAAAAATGCTCTTAATGTACTGTTCGTCGTTTTTATAATCGTCTGGACGGCAACACGTCTCATATATTATCCTTTTTGGATTATTCGATCAGTTTGGTTCGATGCTCCGGAAATGATTCAGGTGTGATTTTTACGCTGACGTAACGTGAATAGAGCAGCTTAGCCTAATTCCGTGATTATCGAATATTTACACTAACCAGTTTTAGTCATCATATCAATGGACGAATATATGGCAACGGCCAGTGGTTCCTAGGATATTAATGGTGATGCTATCTTCACTTCTCGTTCTTCATATATTTTGGACTTACGTCATTCTAAAGGTTTTGTTTGTTGCTTGCATTTTCCATCTAAAAGATGGTTTAGGATAACATTCCCTATTCCAGGTTGCATGTAAGTCTATGAAAGGTGGAGAGCTTGATGACGTTAGAGAGGAAAGCGATTCTGAAGAAACTACGTGTAGAGTCAAGGAGGAGTAACATACAACGATGTTGGTCTCCTTCCTATTAACAATCTATGATCACGATGCATCAGCTACTTAAACAACTAATGTTTTTAATAGCAGCACCCACCATAGTTTTCGCGTAGTTACCACAAGTTGGGATAAAATGAATAGTAGCATGAGGTGTAAAGTAGGACGGAGATCAAAGAGAAATGGGAAAAAGAGTCATGGCTTTAGCGACCAGAATAGATCCTTTGTTGCACCCCGCGAGTCATTATGGGGGACTGGAATCTTATCAAACTTGCACAGCCTCTGCAGCTACGCCACTTCTTCGTTATACCAACCTTTGATCACCTCTTGTCAATTTCCTACACAGCGTTGGTGTCGAAAAGAACTATACACGAAACGAGTTTTAAAAGTGGGCGTTGCTGCTACATGGCACCCATGTTGTGATCAGCATTTCTACCACTCTCAGCTCACTTTGTATCTAGTTTTAAAGTTGTCGCACATTTCTTTATTACGGGTTCCAAAGAATCCTTTTTCTAAGACGTTCGAATTTTTATGTTGGTTATTCAGTTTGAACAACTCGATGATTTCGTCAACATTTCTTTTCTCTTATTGTACAATGTTTTAAGACTTTTCCGTCTGATGGTTACTTGCTCAAACAATTTAAAGTGATTAACTTTTAGGAACTGCAGAAAATTTTTGTAATAAAATGTAAAAAGTTGCATTGACAAACAACAAACTGTGGAAAACTCGATTCAACTGCTCAACATAAAAGCTGTAACAAAATATGGTACGAACGGAACCGGCTTACATCTTGAGTCCTCTGGTCGGTATATCTACAGACGTTACCGTCTTTCGTGAAAGTCGAATTTGACCAGTATCCGCATCACGACCTAGCCACTGAACGGTCGTTTTTTGCCCTACCTTAGAGGAGATGAGATTATGTGATAGGAATGACATATTGAAGAAGAAATTTAAAACGTTGGGAAAATCCGTTTTTTACAGCATTTTCTATTACCCAATGAATTTTAAGACTATACCTGAAGTCCGCTAGCAGATGAGTGTCGAATCGGAACCGAATGTAGCTGCGAATTGGGTACGAAGATAGGACGACCAACACCTGCCAGTCGCAACATTGCCCCTCGTTCAAGCAACTCTACTACTTCAGCTGTGACCATTTGACCAAATACGAACATGGGTTCTTCTGTTTCAGAAAGTAACCTAAACTATCAATAAATCAATAAACCGAAATGCAAGTGTATTTGCGAAATCTCATCATGGGGAAAATTACTTGGCGATAAGCGTTTTTGCATCATCTAAACGTTGGCTGTTGGGTGCGAACAAACCAATATGGGCATCGTCTTCTTGGGAGATCTAAGAAATGTGAAATTATTCAGGAATTGCACGTAAAAGTAATTCCAAATGGAATGAATAATTAGAACATTGCCTTAACACCAGTTTCGGCTTCAACTGTTTTGGCATGTAATCCACCACTACGGAAAAGAGCTTGTCGTTTATAGGCATCCAAACGCATCGACTCAATGACTGGTACTGATGCTTTGAATTGTTCACTTAAATAGTAACTATTACTATGGTAAGTGTAAAATCATATACAAAGCTTATATCTCCGACCGCGGTCGATCTCGTAACACAGCCATTTCGCTAAGTACATGATCCAGTCCGTTTCGTGCGCTTACAAAAGCCTCGCTAAGCTGTTGACGAGTAAGACCAGGAATTTTGACGTCTAGTTGCATAGCTGTGAATCCCTTAGAAGTGCCTTAAAAATCCACCTAAACCCCTATTGTTAACCTAATACGTGCTAAACTTACCAGCTATTTTGAAGTCCATATCACCGGCGAAGTCCTCCATACCCAAAATATCAGTAAGCAGTTGGTGAGGCCTACTTGAACTGCTAAAATCCAATAAAACAGTAATTGCTACATATTGTGAGAAACATTCACTCACTCCTTATCCGTAATTAAGCCGATGGCTACACCAGCAACTGAAGCTGATATGGGGACACCAGCATCCAGTAATGCTAGACTTCCGCCGCATGCAGACGCCATTGATGAAGACCCGTTAGACTCTAGAACCTAGGTTGAAAAATCCACGGAACTTTCCACAGAGGAATCTCTTGACTGATAGTCGAGAGGCAGCGTGGCGCGTCCCCGGGTGGTGGAGAGGGGTTAGTCGCTGACCAAAAAAGCAGCCATATGCTTCCCTGAGAGGCAGGTGGATTCAGGGGATGGACTTCCTGTTTCTGCTGTGCAGATTCAGTACACATCTTTTCCGTGTGCGAGGACGTATTTATGCATGCTTGTTTATGTGTATTCTCGGTCATGAGTATTGAATTCTACCAGTCAATTCAACCAAAACCCTACAATCAAGTGACTGAGAAATGCATGGGAGGCAGTTAGAAGTCGTCTGCAACAAATAAAATCGCCATCTACCCTGGCAGAGACTGGTAAGCCACCCGTGAGTAAAACCAGCCAACACGTTCACAGTTCAGCAAGCTATACGTGGGTATCAAACGCTAAACAGTTAAACAACCGGGCCTCATTCACCACACCACGAAAAAGTCCCCGATACAGCAGCGTTGGGTAGGGCGAGTACAGAGAGGCCGCTAAAATCTCAGGGCCATTATAAGCTTCATAAATCGCGAAAAACTAATGTGACGATCTGTACCTAAATTGCACATACACCTGCTCCTGACTCCTTGAATGAGGATTTGACAATGCAGACAAGAATAACATAGTACGAGGTCATCGGACTGATTGAGACGAGAAGACCCCACCCATTCAACGCCGGAGAAAAACTGTTCATGAGAACATTCCACAACAGAAGAGTCGGCGAGGTTGGCGTTCTCGTCAACACGAGTTTGGCTACGAACGATTCATTAGAACAACTAATAACCCTAATCGTGCGTTTACGGTTGAGATGTGGATCAAAACTGGCTCTGACAACTTTCGTCGTCTACGCGCCGAAATTAACTACGACAAAAGTTAATTCGAAGCGTTCCATATGGACTTGGAGAGGTTCTATAGAGGAAGCCATAAATTCTTTAGGGTCATCATTGGAGATTTTAATGCTTAGGCTAGATCCAGAAAACGTCTAAAAACGTTATATTGACACTCATGGATTAGAGTGGAACAAACATGGTGTGCAACAGTCCGAGTTTACAAATGATGACCACTTTTCTTGGCAACTCGTAATTCCACAAGCCCCACTCTCAACGTAGGATGCGCTAGTCTCCCAATGGAAAGTACCCCCTAACCAAAGAGACCATATCATAGTAAATCGAAGGTCCTACCTAAGCGATATCGTTGCCGTCCCAAAATTCTGCACAGGATCAGACCATCGACTCCTTTGTGCAAGATTTTATTTCTCGCGGAAAGGACAAAAAGCCACTAAATTCAAGAACGAAGTCACAAAACCACCATAAACTGGGACATATTCAGTTCATAAGTCGACCGTTGGAAAGATGCCGTTCTCGAAATATTGACGAGAAGTACGATGAGCTCATTCAACATCTTCACGTTAGCGCTGTGAAACCTGAGAGTTCGAAAGTCACCAAGAGACATTTGTCCCCATAAACACTCGAGCTGATACGCCAGTGTGGAATCGCACAAGCTACAGGTAACCGCTAACTCACGTCAGAGCTTGTAAAACAGTGCAACGAAGCAATGAAAGAAAACCTTAAAGAGAGAAGACCAGCAGTTATGATCGAAGATGCAGAGAAGCATTCTGGGAGAAGCATTCGCAAACCCTACCGAAGTTAGCCAATTACAAAACCATGGTGGCTGCACTCTGAAGCCCAGACAGAACAGTTACAGCTTTCAGAAAAGAATGGAAAAAATTATTCATCATTAGAACTCCGATCTCTTTGATACCCACGTACTCTTGCCCTCATGCGAAATAAAGGAGGAGGAATATGTCGTCCTACCGGTTCTCCCTTCCAAAATCCAACATGGTATTTTGCCAGTTAAAAATCGAGCAACACATAATAAAACCATCGAAGGATATGACACTTCGAACTTCGAGAATCTTCCACCAATACTCATCGATACATTAACTTTACACACGTTACCTATCCGAATGCAAAGTCTCTACTCAGTGGAAGACCAAGAATAATGTGTTATTTTTCAAAAAAGCTGCCTCCACGATATCGGCAACTATCGCCCAATCTGCTTGCTGTCTGCCGTCTATAAAATCTTCGCTCAAGTCATTCTAAACAGAATTGACAGCACACTGATCGAAGGACAGCTATGTGAGCAAGAAAGGTTTCGAAAAGGATTCGGTTCCATGGACAACAGCACCCGATATAGGGCTCATTGAAGTATCGCGAGAGTACAAGAGGCCGCTGTCTCATTTTTATCGATTGTACTCTATTCTACATCTTCTACTATTCTATTCTATTCTACTATCGATTCACGAGGCTTTTGACTCAGTTGAGTTAGAGGTTTATGGAAATCCTGGACAGCCAAAGCGCCCCTACTTCGTTTATAAATTCTCGTGATCAATATATAAATTTCACAACTAAGATAACATCATTCTATAACGATATTAACCTCGACGCAAAATGAGATGTCAGTCAAGACGATGCCATTTCGCCAAAAATATTTACCGCTACCCTCCAGAAGTTCGCGCGAACACTGGAATGGGACAACATGGGAAAAAAAATCGATGGTTGGAAGTTGCACCACCTTCGCTTTGCTCATTATGTCGTTTTTATAACACCAAGAATTAGCAAGACCTAATCAATGTCTGCCAACTTTGATAACGCCTATGGATGCTCAACAAGTCCCTTGAGCTAGCATAACCCACTGAGCTACCGCTGCATGCACGCGACAGGAGGGGGAGGAGGAGCTGGATGGACGATTTACTGGCGCCCGCTCGAGTCACTCTTATGCAGATGAGGGTGAAAAACCTTGCTTCATGTTATCTTTGACAAGTTTCAACAAGGTCTCAAGAAATATATATGTATAAACATGTATACAGTTCATACCTGGCAAGCAAGCCGTATACTGTACGGGAACTCTTTAGGAATGACGTGCTTGAGTGCTTTTTCAGCCAGTGCAGCGTGTCCGAGTTCTCTTCGATTTACTCCGCGAGAGGACTACAGGGAAACAACTGCTTTAAACATGAACCATATTCAAATAGCTCTGCAGAACGCACTAATCTTCTTTTTTTTCAGATCATGTTTCAAAATTCACAATTTTGATTCAAAAGCTTGTGGAATGTCTGTGCAAAACATAAATACAGGAAGACATACAGAAAAGTTCTACACTTAACACCCTCTTTTTAACTCTGTCAAATGGAAATAAAAGACGGAACAATGACCATTTAGAAAATATTGGGTAAATTTTGCACCATATGGAGCTAGATGAAAGCATGATTATGCAAACTAACCGAGATTTCATTCGTTGCATAACTAGGAAACTCATAATGCAACATGAACATTTTCTTTCGTTGGCTTCCCAAAATTTGCGATATTGAATCAGAATGAAACGCAGCAGCGGGGCTGTCGAATGTAACGGTGGACATCACCTGTAATTAAATGAGGACAAAATCTACAATTAATTCCACTGAAATATAAAGGATTTAAACCAAGTTATGAAAGAAATACCTGAGTTTGTCCCCTCTGGAATAATGATGAACCATGCAGGCGCTTAAAAACGTCGACTTTCATTGTAATAGGCCTTACCTCTGACAATCCACGACCATCACATCGTGTACCAGTTTCAAGAATTAACTCACTAAACACTTAACAGGTCCTCGAAAAAAATGACATATTGGTACAAATATATGGACACGAACCGCACTGCCTTTTTGGTGATATCCCGGAATATTGCTTGAACAATGGAAGCGTTTCCGCACTCAACCGACTTCAGCACATCCTTTCCAAGATCCTGAAAAAAAGAAATTAACGTTCGGCCGTGATCTATCCACCTTTCTCTCAAGTAGAAAAGAAGAAAATATTTAGATTCAGAATCAACGAACACTGATGGCATCATCACGTGAAACCTTGTCATGGGATGGGTCTGTCAGAATGTAGTACAACCGTTCTTCACATAATGCTTGCACCTCGGCTTCGAGCTCTTCGGGATAAGAAGCTCGTGACAGCTGTAGGAAAAAAAGTCGACATAGAAACACTGTCACAAATTTCAACTGTCACGAAGTAGTTTCTAGTAACGATTTCCTTATCTTAACCTCAGCTTTTTCCTTGCCACAAGCATCTCTTAGCTTATGCATACCCTCTATGACACTGTTAATCGCTTCCAAACCTTCATCAATTGCTCCTTCAATCTCTTCTGTTTTTATATCCTTAAAAAATCGATAACAATGAAAATAAAAGGAATTCATATCCAACGAAGAAAAATTACCAACGTTTCCATCCATTTCAATCATTACCGTTCGTCGATCTCCACATCCTGCGAGAAGTAAATCTAGACACGAATTTTTCAATGCTGACCGCGTCGGATTCAGAATTAGCTATAATTGCAAAAACTATAAAAGTGTAGGCATAGATACATTGAAAAGGTAATTTGGAAACGCATGCAGAGAAAGCAGTAACCTCATACTAATGCTTACTTTATCGTCAAGAAGCGCAACACGTACAGCGGCTACGGGACCAAGGAATGGCACTGATGATATATGAAGAGCTGAAGCAGCGGCGTTGAGACCTAGCAGCACCACGTCACCTTCGTCTTCGATAGACAGAGGTTTCACAATTATCTGAATAACAGCATTTCAACTTAATACAGACTATTTAAGATTCGTTAACTCACCTGAGTCTCATTCACCCATCCAGCCGGAAAAAGTGGACGAAGAGAACGATCAATCACTCGCGAAGATAGAATATCCGCGTCAGTTTGTCCGAGTTCGCGACGAAGATAGTTCGTAGGTATTTTTCCAACTGCTGCTGCGCTTTGTTTGAAATCAACTAGCAGTGGTACAAAGTCTTGGCCAGTTGACACATCACTCGACGACTTACGATAAACACAAGTGCTCAGAACCTGAAAAAGATCTTACTACGAATATGAACGATTGATCCAAACAACATCACATACTGCATTATCGCCCGTTGAGGCAACTACTGCGCCGGAAGCAAACCTTGCCATATGCCCTGTAAAAAGTTGAGCACTGAAGCGCGTACGGTCTGACCTTACGAAAGTGAGCAATTCCTCAAAAAACAACTAACCTGATGTAAGCAGAAGTGGCTCCCCACTGCCAATTTGAATTGAAACAGAATGCATCCAGGTGCGTAGTATGTAGCTATAACTCGAAAAAAGATTTCACCGAAAATGAACAGTAAGAAAAAAACAGTTTGTTGATGAATTTAAACATACTAAGCACGGTGAGTGTGTGTTAAACAAAACTTCGTCCGCTCAATCAAAACCATGTCACTCGGCCGATCGAAAATACGCAGTAGTGAAACAGAAGAAAATAACGCTGGTCTGTTTTCTTGAACAGCAATAACACTTATTTTGTCCAAAGGCAAGAATTTAATCCTAAAAGCTAAGTTAAATTTTAAAGCTGAATTAACATCTAGGAAATCATACATTCTTCAGTAGGTTAAAGGTTAAACGCACTAGCCCGACTCAACTTGGATATTTACACTTAATCTATACTAATGAATGGTTTAAGGACGGCTCAAGGGTGTATCTCACCTTACTTACTTGGATACTAGATGACCCGTTTTCACTGTTTGTACAGGTTCCACTATATACTCCATCTTTTTGAGTTTTGCTGGTTTAGCCATTATGATTCCCTGGAGTCCCAGGGTCAGCCTGACCAAAGTCTGCTCCAGATCGTCACCACCACAGGCAGTCGCAGCCCTCGTGGATCAGAGGGAGATTTGCCACCATGCGACCAGTTTCATGCCAGGACAGTGGTGGATTCTGGTATCGGTTTACCCATAGCTTGGCTTCCTGACGCAAACGCCACACTCTTTCCAAGCATGGGAGACCCTGCGAGAGGATGAATGCCATTGTACATGGCAGCCCGACACCCAGGAACACCTACCAACCACTATGAGACGGCAAACCGTTAGGATGCATGTCACTTTACTATTTTGGAATTAATGATGACATTTAAAGGTCGCTATTTGTAGCTACAGGTATTTTTTCAGGAGTCATAAACGTAATGGGCTTTTGGTAGTGACCACAACAATTAGCGTTAAATGTTAATCTTAACTACACTGTTTATTGAGAAAATCAATGATGCAACGTATAAAATGTAATGTTAATAAATACACGTCAAAAAAAACTACACGCAAAAGAATGTTAATACAGTAAAGTACATAAAAAAAGAGTAATAAGGCTTCAGAATGATTTTTAACAGGTGCGATTACACTGAAAATGATATTGCAGTAATCAACAATGAGCCAATGACTTCACTGTACACACCTTTACGGCGACCTGGTAACAACTTCTGCAAAGAGGTTTTCTTGTGAAGAAAATGAAAACTTCGAAGAACACGAAGGTAAACAGTTCATTGTGATTAAAAAGATAGCAAATCTGTTATTAAAAGACAGTCCTAAACGCTAGCATATCCTTGACGCTTAGCACGAGCTCTTCCGATGAGATATGCAACAAGTACGATGATAACTAGACCAGCCAGACAAGCACCAACAACTATTGGAACAATGTCTGAGGTCCGGGAATCAAGCGCACATTGTTCGTAAACTAAAATAGAATGAAATAAAAGGTTATGCCTTGACACAAGAAATAAATGCACATCTAATTACATACTTTGCTGTTTCGAGAACTCTGGTTTGTCCAACTGCGCGAACGCTATTGCACGCACATTCTTTATTTCAATCACTGAATCATTTGAAAGACGAAGTTCAGTGGCTGAGCACTATAATGAGAGAATATTTGGAGTAGATAAACGAAAGACCATGGAACAATTCAAATTTTTTGCATAATGGTAGGACAGGTAAATGATAAAATGAAAAGGAAAAATCGTATAACATAGGTTACTTATGTCGCCTTTTATGTGATTGTATGAAAGTGAAAGATTACCGCCCTTTTACGCGCTTGTCGGCTAAGATTTGCAAAAAGAACAGGCAAAATTCCCAGCACGTCCCTCTGATCGAATCCACCCTTTAGATGCGGTTTTTATAACAAAATTACTCCTCGTATACGTATACTTCTTCGCCATTTAGCTCCACCTTATCTAAGGAAATGCATGTGGCGCAGTGTTCGGAGGCGCTCTGTAATACACACGGGATCGATCCCCGCGCTCAAGGCTTGCCGAGCCTTCCATTCTCCTGAAGTCGGTAAATTGACACCAGACGTTTTTGGGTGGATGGCAACACTGGTTCGATTCACCTGTAGGCCACCGCAAGTCATTGTATAGGCCAGATATGCATTTCATCACCTCTAATGATACATGATGAAGTAAAACGCACGGCGCATCCCTCAGGGATTGATCAACGACGAGAGCTTTATTCTTTTTTTATCTAACACCTTGATGCCTTCTTAAAGAAATCGTTCTTTAAGACGAGAGTAATCTTTATGGTAAGTTATCGAACACACTCATTAGGTCGAGAGCATTCCACGATTTTCACTTCCAAAATGCTTGGTGGTGATATTCTCTACTCGTTTTATTGCTCTTCGAATTCCAATGAAAGGATAACTGAAGGTTGTAGCTTGACAGTGGTCATCAGATCTAGAATGAGAGCTATGGAACCGAAAACTAAGTTATAGCTTCTATATTATTGTTTCTATAGGCTATTCGCATGTATAAGCCAGTGAGCAAAATAATCGAGATGTATATCACACTATGGAGAAGAGAGCAGGATAGCACATTTCTTTAATTCAGTCGAACACAGCGTGAATTCGGTGTACACGACAATTCGCATACCGAATGGCATGTTTGTTTCCTCCCGAAAAATTCCAATGAAAAGTGAGTGCTTTGGTGAGACGATCAACGAAGCGCCATTACTTCCATTCCGATCTTCATAATCGTGCTTTAACCAAAAGCGATGTTCTCTGTTAAAATGGCGAAGTCTCAAACTTGTACTTTTCGCTAATTGTGTTTACTACACTTTACCACTAAGCCTCAGTTCCGTCAGATTCATTTATTAGAATGCGATGTTTAGTTTACACTAATCGAATGGCGCAGGAACTGTAAACAGAAAATCACCACACGAAATGATAGGTGCCGTAGGAGTCCAAAGTTTAATCCATAGTCGACAAACGGGTCTACTGTGGGATGTGACAACATCGGCCTCATCACTAAGCTTATAAGTCGTTTACTTCAGTCTCGATTTAAGATGAGCATGTGAAATTTATGGCTTGCGATCTCAGAAAAAAGAGTAGGAGTCGGTGGAAACATTTCCGAAGTTATACATGGAAGGCAAGCAACGGTCATCACGGTCAATCACTCATGTGTTCCCTTCGCTACCAAAAATATTTAAAGTAAACAGATTTGAACAATCTTCTGCGATACCAATGTGACAATGAGATTAACCAACGGCTTGCCTCTGTAGCCTGAATTGACTACGTTAGGAGACTACCTGCCACCATTATAGATTGTCTCTCCACGCTTTTCTGAAACTGTGGATCGGCTCACTCTCATGTTAGGATACAAATATCGGACTCCTTTTCAGCTTTGGTAGGCTATTGACACTGAAGAAAAACCCCCCAGCAGTAAGGAGGTTAGTTATAGAAACAGTATACAGGTATAAAATACATCTCATTTACAAATAATTACACTTACCTTGAAAGCATCAGTATCATGCGCCAAAAAATCCACATCGGGATTCGCTTTGGTAAACCGGTCTGAAAATAACAAGTCTAGCATAATACCTACGAGCTCATGAATTTGAAAAATTTAAAAAAAGGTAAATGTGAACTTTACGACAACATACAGATAAAAGATGAATTCATTCCACGAGCAGGAGCCGTTTGTAATGAATAATTAAGCAACTTGAAAGCGTAATTCTTTTCAACAGAACCGAAAGTTAACTGTAACGTCCACGGCTGACTTTCTGTGGGCAGTGTTTCACTTCCTGCTGGTAAAAATTGCACCTGAAAACGAAAAATGTAACTGCAGCCTTCATAAGCACAAATCGAACCTCTTAGGATCAGTTCTACCTGCATCGTTTACAAAAACGTACCCCACATGAACAAATTCACTAGAATTGAAAACCCCAAAATTGGGGGAAAAAATAGCATACCTGTAGTTCCTGAACAGTTTGATTTCCATAGGTGGACACACAGTTTCCAGTAACACTAACATTCGAGTTGATTGTGGTATTGTAGGAATCAATAGTGCCATTCTAAACGAAACTTTGACAGACAGGTTTCAAGCTAGTCGGCATTGATTCGCATCCCCATACTTCCTTACGTTAGCGCTGACCTCCTCTCAACGGTTTACCGTCTCATCATAGCTGGCAAGTGTTCTTGAGTGTCGCGCTGCGATGTACAGCGGACGGATTCCTCATCCTAGCAGGGTCTATTAAGTTGAGGAGTCCGTCGTTTCCACTAGGAAACCCAGCTAAGAGTAAACCAATACTAGGATCCGTCACCATCCTGCTACCAAAGCAGTCGCACACTGACAAATCTCCCTCTGATCCACAAGGGCGGTATCTGTCTTTGGTGATGACGAGCTGGGGCAGATTTTGGCCTGGTTAACCTCAGTACTCCAGGGATCCGAAATAGCCAAATCAGCAAAAAACCAAAAAAGTGGAGAATATTCCGGGGCCTGCACAACCATTGAGGACGGGCCATCCAAGTAACCAAATATAAGCAATGTTTATCTCTTAGATTTCACTCTACAGTTTGCTTCCCACAAATACGGAACTATTACGAATAGGGAAATTTTCAATAGCATTGCAGAGGGAATTGCACAGAATTCGACTGAAAACACAAATTATATCCACGATAAATTCCGTTTTATACACGCAAACAATGTAACAGCTCTAGCGCCTACCTTCTTAGTGAATTTTACTGTAACCGTGACGGAGTCTGCATCAAAAATTATGCAGGTTTTATTGGTACTGTCGTTAGTCACATTCCAATGATGACCAGCAAAAGTTATGACGAAAAGAGCTGAAAAAAAACGAAACAATAGACTCGCAAAACAGCAGTTGCGAAAAAATGTTTCACTACCCGAGAATATGCCTAAGCGAAGCATTGTCTCGAAACGCCACTATCTGAAATCAGACCCATAGCATTTGAAATAAACTATAAGGGTTAAAATGATGTCTAGTGAGGACGGACGGCGTGAATGAATCACATGCATTCAAGATAAACAACATACACATTAGGAACGATCGATGTCATGATGCATCATTTACAAAAAAAAAACTACATTTAAAACCAACTTTTCTTTAACCTCGGTACGGACCAATTAATGTGTATTCTTTGATAAGTCTACACGAGGTTGACAAATAATTTTTATTTTCGGATAACGTTCCGACGGTTTCGTCTTCCTCAGAGCTGATGATCTCAGTCGATGGTCCACTGAAGCTCTGATGAAAACGAAACAACCGGAACGCTAGCCGAAAATAAAAATTTTTTAATCAAAATCGTGTAAGCTTATCAAAGAAAAAATACAAACTACATTTACTCAACAACTCAGAACCGAGACATATATTGGACAGAAAGCAAAGCCAATGGTTTGAGATCGACGGTTGGGTGTGTAGGAGCGCGAAACCCACCAGAATGCGATAGTGGGCACGTACACGGTGATAAAAAATTGCGATAGGCATAAGAATGGTGATAAAGGCTTTTAATCATCCTAACGTCTAACAAACCTTCACAGAGAACAAGTGGAAAGAAGAATTCACTTAACTTTAAGGAAGTACTTACAACATCAGATGAGAACAAGTAACGTTAGTCAAATTCAGAAGAACGGATAGTGACGCCAATGTACTCAACGTAGCTAAACAAAATTACAACGATTCGCTTTTAATACTAAAAAATCTATCCAGGTAACAATGTTATTAAAGACATGCAAGGAAGCCCACAGAATTAGTGCAATCTGCACTAGACTGTACGGTGATGAATACTGATTCTTTTTTGAAAAGTGAAGGAAAAACATACCAAAGCTATATTGTCTCAGGAATACCGCGACACTACTTCAATGTCAGAAGATCACACCAAGTTACATAGGTATAAAGGATAAAGCATAAAGCTTTTGGCGTTGATCAACTCCTGAGGGATACGGCATGCATTATACTCCATTCGTACAACCGCTGGAGGTGATTGGATGCATATCTGGTCTTTACGATCACTCTCTGTGGCTTGCCGATGCATCGAGCCAGTGCTGCTATCCTGCCAGACAAGTCTGGTAAGAATTTGTCGACCCTGGGAAGATGGAAGGCCTGGTGAGCCTGGAAAGGGAATCGATCCCACTGCAGGGCGCATCCGACCACTACGCTACACGAGCCCCACGTAGCTACAAAGCAACTAAGCATTAATAAAACTATGTAATAACAGTATGCTAAGATCCCACATGCCAGCAAGGTTTTTTAGTCAATAGGACGACATCTAACAAGAAAAACAAAACGACTGTCGACATTTGATTTACTTATCACATTCCATGGTTGACTCATGTTGCAATGCAAAGTATCGTGTAGACTAGAACTGATGACATCGGATGCCAGCTGCAAAGACCAAGTGAATCAATGTGGGTCAAAGTAAAGATTAAGGGATATAGTTCAACGCGACTGCAGAAACTAGCAAAGCCATCAAGACGTAGACGGCCAGAAGAGCGTGCTGATCATCTTCGTAGGCCAGAGGATGTGCACCGGATATTCCGAGGAATGTGGAACAAAGTAAACATGTAACTTTGCGTAATAAGTGATTATTCTGTTCTTCTTTTCAGATATTGATAGTGAAAAACCACAACATCACTGATGAAATCAATTCGTCTGCCTCCTTAAGACCGACCTTAAGGCACACTTCCCTTCTTGGAGAGTACTTAAAATTGTTGTTCTATTGGGTGAAAACTAAGTTAAAGATCAGTGCTAACATCCTGTAAATCAAGACTGCCTTAGTACCGAAAGACAAATTCAGACTTATATGAGAATTTTTTGGTATAACACTCAATGATAATCAGTTATTTTCATTTGAATCCATACTAATATAGGAAAACACAAATGAAGAATCCACTCAACGTTACAGTAAGAAAGAAGAAGAAGAAAAGAAGAAAGGCAAAACTCTTCATCCATAGAGGATGAGTTTTCAAGTGAATGAGCAAAGAATGAATGAATGATCACCAACAGACTACGCCATGGGTAAAAGATAGCATGAGACGGATAACTTACTTGGATACTTGTGCGACTCGTCTCCACCCGTTCTGCGAGCTCCAGGATAACTTCCACTTCTTCAGAGTTTTGCTGGTCCAGTCACTGTAGTTTTCCGGAGTCCTGAGGTCAGCCTAGTCAAAAGTCTGACCCAGATCGTCACCACCATAAGCAGTCGCCGCCAATGTGGATTGGATACGAACAACACCTTACAAAATTACAAGATACCTTACTAGTAAGCAAGGTTACTGATCTACTTTACACTCTACTGATTGAGAAAGTCAAAACAAGCACACCAAAAACTTCGCAGACCCAGAGCTGATAGATGACAGTGACTAACCGTCTGAACACAGCAGTGTCATGACACGAGATTTGCGTCAATTTCACGCTGACGCTAAATGGTTCACTAGATTTAGGCGTTCGTTTGAATTCCATCTGAATTTCTCGATTCCAGGGCATGATCCTTCAGGATTTCTCTTTCTGATTATCATCTTCTTTCTTGCTATTGGAATCCCTCTTTATCGATCTCTGGATTATCGACCATAGGTTGAATTTTCGAAGAAATAACGGTTTTCGTTCGTCTATTTCCAGGACTTTCAAATAGTGATGTTAATGGACGTTGACAATATTCTCGATGAACGGGTTGATCCTTATGATCTTGAGGTAAACTTCTTGTTTATTCGCCCAATTTGAAAAGTCTTTAATTAGTCACTTCAGAAAGTTCGCGACACTTACGAAACTCAACTTCAGCGTGGTTCACCGAGTGCTGTTGCAACATTCAACTATGCGGTGGCGCTTGTTCGGTCTACGAAGCAAGACGTAGTTGAAGGAGCTAATATGTTAGAAAGTGAGCATCCATAGAGAAATAACTGGATTCTATACTAGATTCTTGAACGGCCTGTCCTCACTGGCTATACGGGCCCCAGCATAATCTCCACTTTTTCGGAGATTTACTGGTTAAGCCATTGTGGTTTCCCGGAATCCCGAGGTCAGCCTGGCCAAAGTCTGCCTCAGGTCTTCACCACCGCTGGCAGTCGCAGCCCTTGTGGGTCAGAGGGAGATTTGCCACCATGCGACTGTGGTGGATCCTCGTATTGGTTTACTCTTAGCTAGGCTTCCTGATGGAAACAGCGGACTCCTTCTCAGCTTGGGAAACCTTGCCGAGGGATGGATCCCCCGTTGTGTATCGCAGCCCGACAACCAGGAACACCTCCCACCCACGATGAAGCGGTAAGCAGTTGGGAGGGATTCTATACAACTGTATATTTATTTAAAGCACATCACGTGTCAAAGCATATCATGTGTCTCCCAACGGTTTACCGTCTCACCGTGGCTGCTAGGTATTTCTGGGTGTTGGGCTGGGGTGTACAGTGGGGCATTCATCCCCCTGGTAGGGTCCCCCAAGCCGAGCGGGAGTCTGTCGTTTTTATCAGAAAGGCCAGTAAGAATAAACCAGTACCAGGATGCACCGTTATCCTGCTATGAAACTAACCGTACGGTGACAAATCGCCCTCGGATCCACAAAGGCGACCACTGCCCCTGTGATGGTGATGACTTGGTGCAGACTTTGGCCAGGTTGGTTTATGGCTTCTAGGAAAGCACAATGGCTAGACCAGCAAAACTCCGATAAAGTGGAAATTATTCTGTGACCCGCAAAACGAGTGAAGACGTGCCGTCCAAGTATCACACATATCGAGTGTTTATGCCAAGGTTTATAGAAAGTCGGTCTTTTGACTTAGCAACTGAATTCCGTTCGATCAAAACCGATTAATTTCAGAACTTCTGCATCTGGAACCAGATCATCTCAGTAAGAGAGACTACGTGTATTATCTTGCGATTGCTAACGCACGTTTAGGAGTGAGTGATGATTTAATTCCTCTCCTTTACTTTGATATGCCATAGCATTACTCTGGTTCTAGAACTACGATCGAGCCCTTGCATATGTCGATATTTTGCTCGCTGCGGAAAGTCACAATAGACAGGCTACTCATCTTCGCACGATGATTGAAAAGAGAATGAAAAGAGGTGGTCTATGTTTTCTTTCCTTTTTTTACAACTGGAAATAACAGAACTTCTCATGGGACATCTGTTCATAAGTTCCGGAAAAAATATGAATGATAACGATGTTTTAGTAGTCGTTTTTGGTTGCTCTATACTTTATGTAAAAGCAACGATCACTTTTTGCGTTTCATGCCTGAGTTGGTTGAATTGATCTGGTATAAATAGAAGCGGCAATGTGCTTTTAATCGTTTATTGATCCAGATGGACTATTTGGTCTAGCAGTTATCGGTGGTGGAGCTTTGTTGTTGACGGGCGTTGTGGCTGCGTTGTTTGCTGCAAAGAAGTAACCAGTGATCTGACTTTGTTCATGCAATCCATTGTATTATTGTTTTGCTCTGTGAATTCTAAGTTAAGCTGTCTTTATGAAGGTGAACATTGCATATTGTATACGCACGGTATTTAGTTAAGTGTTATTCTTTTACGTTCCTTTATTAAATGTTCTACGATTGCGCTACATTCGTTTAACACAGTTCCAAGAAAAACGCAAGAGACGTTTTTAGACTTAACGGAACTCGACACCCCATTCGTGACATCCGAATTAGTTGAAGTAGCGCCTATTATTGAATAAGGCGAGTTGACACCACAGAAATTTCTGTTCATCAAAGCCGCGCATTACGGTCATTTACTGGGCTTCTGTTATCTCAATAACAAGGAAATTATCAGCGTATTTCTACGGTGCCCTCTATTTTCCGTACTGTAAACGGTAATATATCCATCAGTTGGTGCTTTGCTAAGGTCTCCTATGACACAGATGGAACTGTTGACGGAGTTAGAACTCGTTCTCCCATTAGGTGGAGTAGGCCCCGATCTCCTGGCCATTCGTTGTTTGAAATCCACGAACGCTGCTTAACTATGATGCGGTAACCTATGAAGGAAGACGTAAGTGTCCGCTATTATGTAATGTCTCTCCCACACTAACTTAGTTAACGACGGAAAGAAAGTAAAACAACGTATGGGAGAAATTTAGTAGAGATGTGGTGCTCCCCACACTCTTCTCAGACTCGACATTGACAAATTCTGGTTATAAGAAAAATATTGTTGTAGATAAGAACAGTCGCATAGGAAGCTTTTTGGTACGGTTGTGAGACAGTGGTGTACAGTTTAAATAAATTTACTGCAGTAACTAAAACACTTAACAAACAAACAAGAGCGTGCAGAAATATTACATCTACCTAATCAGAATCTTGACTATTTAAACAGCTATACATGGCGATGACTAGAGAGTCTGTTAGAATGAGCGTATTAACGAGTAGTATGCAGTACCGACACAACCTTAAGATTATGTAAAGCAGATCTCTAGAATTTGAGCGATTTTCGTGGAAGATTGATGAGGACCCATAATACTGCAATATTAATGAGAAGAACACGGGGAACGATCGCCATGAAAGGTGTGATTTGTAAAACAGCATTAACAACACAGATAATTACTGGTAGAGACAGAGATTACGTTTGAGGTCTTTCGAACATCTAATCGAAAAACTTTTCCGTACATAAATGTCTTGTTCACTTTCGTGTTGTCATTTCATGAGCAACCATTTCATGAGCGAATGCACAAGATACCTCAGCAGAAGGATATACAGATCAAAGCATATATAAGTGGTGGCCGAATGGAACGAAAAGCACTTTACATAGCAGATTATATTGTTTATAGAAACGGATTCCAATTCTGAGCACCTCCCGTGTCGTGTAGTGAATCGGTGCCATAATGTGCCTGCAACGAAATCCTATACAGGCTGAATAACCTATATGCTAAACATAATCATATGACACCTGGATATAAGGCACGGCGAAAGGATTACTCGTCATTACATTCGAAGGATTTGAAAACGGCGACTGATCACGCTGCTGAGGATTCTGTGCCCCGACTGGTTGCTGCGTGAATGGATTTGAAGTGATACTTGCTGAATAGAATCAAAAACACCGATTATAATAACAATGATGCTGAGATATTTGCAAATCCCCGGACCACAGCTGTCTGCCGTTGGGAACGAACGCGCTAGTACGGTTTCCGGTGGCTAACGTGTTTACCACCGCACCATGCAGGCCCTTCGTTTTGCATGTCCCTCAGCCACTAATGAGAATAATTGTTCACAACAGAGAAATACAGGAAATGTTGCTAAGGTTAACAAGGACACACTGAAACAAAACGCCTCAAATACTAATTGATATGCGTATGTTCGAATATTTTAGAGAGACTTAGAAAGCGCCAATTAAAGCCATTAAATAGCCTCAACCTCAAATTAATTAACCTCAGATTGGCCATTTCCAATTAATACCATTTTATTACTCTATAATGCAAAGTACATACCATAGGAATTGGAAAGCGCCTGATGTTGCATATTATTAAACACTGATGTGCTTGATTGTACGACAGATATCTCCATATTAGAAATAGCTCCAAGCGTGTTACTCTTTGGCATTGAGCTCAATCCAGTGGACGGCTTCATCTGGGTGTAATCACAAAATGTTTGTGTATAATGAGCTGGTGGCAGGCCGGTCGAGAAACCTGTGTTAGATAAGATAGGAGAAAGAACTGGTCAATTTTTCTACGAAGTTAAAACAACGACTGAAGGTTACCATAAACTCTGGCGTAGTATAACAGATGTTCACGCCAAGCACTAGCGTCTATTTCTTGACGGAAACCACGCTCTTTAAATTATACGTCTCTCTTATAACGAAAATTTAAGTCATTTAAACGACATACAGGATTAGAACATAAACAGCATTCTAATTTCAAAGCCCTATAAAAATTCTGCACCGTTAAGCCGCAAACATACACTACCAAACACATGTTTAGCCTCCCAACGGTATACCGCCTTATAACGGCTGGGAGGTGTTCTTAGGTGAGAGGCTGCGATGTACAGCGGCGAGATTCATCTCCCATGCTGCGTCTCCCAAGTTGAAGAATTCGGGGTCCTCATCAAGAAACCCAGCTAAGAGTAAACCCTAGTATCAAACCAGTCGCATGGTAGCAAATCTTTGACCCACAACGACGGCGACTGCCTGTGCTGGAGGCGGCCTAGGGCAGACTTTGACTGGCCTGACCACGGGGCTCCTGGGAAACACGATGGATAAACCAGTAAAACTCTGAAAAATGGGGATTAAGCTGGAACTCCCACAACCAGCGAGGACGGACCGTCTAAGCATCTAAGTATATATGCTTAGATCACTATTCAGGGTCCCGAAGGAACGGAAAGATAAAAAAAGCTCTCAGCGTTGATCAATCTCTAAAGGATGCGCATGCATTCGACTTCATTAAGCATCGTTTCGAGGTGACTGAATGCATATCTGGTCTTTACAATGACTCGCGGTTGCCTACCGATGTATCGCGAAAGTGCTGCTATTCTTCCAGACAAATCTAGTACCAATCTGTCGACCCCGGAGGGATGGATGGCTTGGTGGGATATCGGCGCGGGAAACGATTCCATGCGTGTGTTGCAGGGCGCCTCCGACCACTGCGCCACACGCGGGCCCACGGAAAAATAACATGCAGTCATTTAAGAGGTTCGGATTTTCATAAACTATCAAGGTACGATGTCTTATCTTTTATTTACTGCCTATTCTTCTTCATGGCAGAGCACTATATGGAATACGATCACAGAAATGATGAGGTAGGAGCAAGGCTCGAAACCTTTAGTAGGCTTTCAACTCGTCATTACGCTTTTTGGGCGCTCACGTGGTATCCAGCACACCAACCGAGGACTTTGCTTTGCGTTTCTATAAGACATGCGTCTACTTAATCGGCGCTCTTTGCTCATATCTCGACAACCTATAGTTATCAATGAAAGCTTGAGGAAATATGTCTTGAAATTCCTTTATAGAAAAAAAAACAAACATAAAAGATACGCTACACTTTTAACTCCTATAAGAATCGAAACAGTCAAGCATACCACTAGGCAACCACGCCGGTTTTTCTTTACTGGCTGTGTCCGACTTCGCAGTATGGTGGAACATCTGAAATTATGACCATGAAAGCGTTAAACAGGGCATTAAAGAAAGGTTCTAACCGCATTTTCAAATCATCCGAACCTGGTCTAGCTCAGCTAGTGCGCTGTACTTATCATTGTTATCTAAATCGGTAGAGGTAGGACCTAATTCCGATCGATTTGAAGTGTCCCATGATGATGTCTGCAAAATCTGAGTATCTCAATGAATTAGAAATATACTAAACTGTCCTAAAAATTATATATATTTTATATATATAAAATATATATATATAACGTTTTTACATCAACCCGGAAAGGATTTGCAGATACTGCTTCAGGTACCAATTGGGTGGGAAATGAAGAGGTGACGGTTGCAGACTTTGGAAGTGGTTGAACTGCAATTTTTTTTATACGTACAGTGTTCGAAAAAAATCAAAAAAGGGAAAGAAAGAACGTGGTTGAAACCTTGCAAAGGCGATCCGAAAGCGTTAAGAGTTGAGGAGTTCTTGAGAGAAAGTTCACCAAATTTAACATCAAAATCAGCGAATGGGTCAAAATCTGAAGTAGAGCTCTTTGGAGCAGTGGATGAAAAGGGGTCGCAGACCTTAAAAAATAACGTCAAAAATTTGCTGAAAGTTCTGTAAAAACAAAACAAAAACGAAAGCCACCTGAGAGGTGAAAAGATTATTTTGGACTGGAGGCTTCACCGGCAATGGAGGCGGAGGTGCAACAAATGCAGGAGGTGAAAATGGTTGGGAAGAAATTACGTCCATCTAGAGAAATCTTATACATATATATATATATACATATACATATATATACGAATATATACGTTGCACACCATAAATATACATGCATATGTATATATATATATATTACATACATATATTCATGTATATACACGTATATATATATATATATAATTACATGTAGTGCTTCTATCACGAAACACAGCTAATACTAAACCAAAACCAGGATCCACCACTCATGACAAACCAGTCGTATGGTGCAAAATCTCTCTCTCAGCCCCAAGGACGGCGACTGCATGTGGTGGCGACGACCTGGAGCAGACTTTGGCTAACCTGACTGGGACTCCAGGGAACCACAATGGCTTAACCAGCAAGTCTCTGGAGAGTGGAAATTATGCTGGGGCCCGCTCAACCAGTGAGCACGGGCCATTCAAGTATCCAAGCAGTACATATATAATATATACATATATGTACGTATAGACATGAGGTGGAGAGCACAGTGATAGCGATGACGGTCATCACAAGTACGGTACGGGTTCGATCCCGGACCGTGCTCAACAAATCTCTCATCTCTCCGGAGTCCGCAAATTGGTACCGGATTTGTCTGAAATACACTCTCTGCAATCCTATTAGGAACGCTCTAGCCCGACTACCCCAGAACTCCAGTCAGAATCGACTCGACATTCTACAACAACCAAGATAAAATGAAAATCCTCAAGACGAAGCAACATGTATAAGTTGGAAGTCCTTTGTGGATGATGGATGCGGGGAAACGAATCGAATGTGAGAAGTGCTGAGATCCGAAGAGTGGATTTGATAACGGCTAATATATATGTATACATATATATGTATTTATACATATAGGCATGTACGCGTGTATATTACGTGAATATATACATATATGTACATTACATATATATATATATGTAATGTACATATATATATACGTATATAAAACCTCCCAAAGGCTTATCGCTTCATTGTGCCTGGGAGATGTTCCTGGTTGTGTGTCGGACTGCGATGCACAGCGGGTGATTCATTCCCTGACAGGGTCTGCTAAGCTGAGTAGCCTGGAGTTTCCATCAGGAAGTATAGCTAAGAGTAAACCAATACCAGGAACCACCGCCGTCCTGGTATCAAAGTCCCGTAGTAGCAAATCACCCTCTGATCCACAACGGTTCCGACTGCCTGTGGTGCTGAAGACCTTGTGCAAACTTTGACCAGGCTGACCTCGGGATTCTAGGGAACCACAAGGGCTAAAGCAGCAATACTCCGAAAAATGGAGACTGTGCCGGGGTTTGTACAATCAGTGAGGACGCGCCATTCAAGTAAGCTTATGCACACACATATATATATATATATCCCCCTTATCTTTACACATCTCGCCCATGGAAGAAAAGTTGGCACTTAAGACTTACACTATGGCCGACAGGATGAAATACTGACTCATGAGAGGGCTGAGCAGTCGGCCGAGTCACTGGAGAACCAAATGCACTGAACTGGTCACTTGAAAATAGATCCAGGTCGGGAGGCTTAAAATGAATTTCTGTAATAAGACGTTATAAAAAAGATTATCTCTTTCTCTGTTGGCAGACGTCATTCATAAGGGTGAACGTGAGCCGAATGGTCAGAGTGTTAGAGGAGTTAAAAACGAAAAATAAACGAGTGAATGCCGTATCACGCAGCCGGATTGATGAAATAGACTTTACATATGTGTTTAGATGTTTATGTCAATGGGCGGAATATATGCTGGACGGCATTTTGCGGCGAACTTATAGGCAAGTAAAAGGGAGGTACAGCGAAGATAATACGGGAAATCCTCGAACAACTGAATCGGTCTCCACCAAAGTAAGGAACGGTTAACCATACCCGAGTTGTTTCCTCCTCAAACGCACTTAAACTAAAGGGTCTCAAACGATGCTTAGCGTTCATCGACAAAATCTAGCCGAGTAAAACGGAACTCTTGACGTGCAAGGTCAAATAGAAACTCTCTTACTAGCTGATCAAGTGGTTCGACGGTTAAAGGAACTACAGGTGATAAGGTGACGAAAGCTTCATAAGTCATCTATGTATATGGTTAAAAAATATTACCTTTGAAACCAAAGGGCCAGCACTTTTAACACTTGACCCACATTGACTTGCAACCTCCTTGGCCTGGTTTAAAAGCCGTTCCTGCTCTTCAAGTTCTGTTCTCGAAACATACCATTCCTTTTTCTCGTACTTCTGTGAATGTCATAAAACCAGGTGATAGACGAAGAACTCAGACATTTCGAAATCCATACTCTTATTAAGAAAGCAGTGAACTCCTCTTTATTTGTCATCTTCGGTGGTGTTCCAGAATACAGTCCAAGCCAGGTATGTGAATTTTCTTCATTCCCAAGGCTACGAATTCGTTCGATTTCCTCATTCGTGAATGTCGCCATGCAAATCGACTTCACGCGATGCGGAGGATTTAAGCCTCGTCTGCAAAGAAAAGGCGGGCTACTTTGACAAGGAAAACATGATTCGGAAGAAACGTTCCCTTAAATGGCCCTTACTACAGAATTACTTACAATATTCCAGAGCAACTGGTACAACAAAACGACCCAATTGTTATATTCACATAAGTTGGACCACGCTGACCACACTCAAAACAGAAACGATTCGCCGGTAGAGCGGAGAGTTCACTGAAAGTTAAGAAAAAAAAAAGTGAAAAACCTAACAGTCCGATAAAAACAAACTGAGAAGCAAAATAATAGCTAATAAGCAAGACATGAAAGAAAAACTTAAGATCACACCGTAATGTTTTCAGATTGCGTTCATCCTGTCGTTTCTTTTGAGAACTCGATGTGGAATTGGAAGAAGAAACGTGTGCGGTATTCACCATCTAAAATAACACGAAGGAATGAAATCCAGGTACAGTGCTGCAATGGTTGCTAGTAATGAAACGGTACATATGAGCATGAAACATCGTTTCGAAACCTAGAAGTGAAATTGAAAACTTTGAACACATTGTGCTTAATAATCTATTCAAAAGCACGAAGTTTACACAACCTATTTAATAAGTTTCTTTAAAAATTATCCAACGAAACTATTGATAAAATAGCATAAAGCACATGGTTTCAACCACTAACAAAAAATAAACCCATAAAAGTTGGTGCACGAGAAGACCTCACACACCACTTGAAGAACCTAAGCAAAATCGCTTACTACTATGGTATAAACCACCTATCTAAGAAAGAAAAAAACTGGAAAATCAATATTTACATCTCCACACACTTGAAGCTTTCTAGAAACTATTAACAATGCCCATTTCATGTATAAAAAAAGGATAAAGCCCTCGGCGTTGATTAATCCCTAAGCGATGCGTCATACATACAACTCCATTCATAGCATCGTTGGCGGCGATCGAATGCATACCTGGCTTTACAATGACTCGCGGTGGCCTACTGATGTAACAAGTTAGTGCTGCTATCGCTCCAACAAGTTTATCACCAATTTCCGAACTCCGGAGAGATGGAGGACTTGGTGGGCTAGTGGCCCGGGGATCGATCCCATGTGCACTGTAGGGTACCTCAGACCAATGCGCTACATGCGCCCTTCACTTTATGCGTAGATAAGTAAAATCATTCAGATTTCGCATACTGTTTGCCAACTATTATCAAAAAATACGTTGGTTATTTGAGTTGAATATAAAATGACCTTCGTAGGTCGTCGCATTAAACGGCTAAGTACCAATCAGTATGATGAAATGATTCATAGTAGTAAATGTTCGTAAAGTTATGGTAAGAAAAAAATAAATAAAAAAGAACGATAGGAAATGTTTCGTTTCCCAAACGACTACGGCTATCTTATCTATGAAACCACTCAATACTCTATTAAAATGCGGTAAGGTTACAAACTCATTAACGCCACTTCATCCGTTAGCGAACTGAAACTCCGAAAAAGGTTATTAGATCAACGAAACTCACAATAAGATGTAATAAAGTTGATAAAAAGTAACAATATTTGGATATTTGTTGGTTAGAATGGGAAATGTGTCCTTATAGATAAATGGAAGAGCGTCGGTCATATTTATAACACTGGTAAATATCAACATAAAGTTAAATTATGTGGAAAACGACTTCTTCGGAAAAAAAATGGGAAGTGAAGGGAGAGGAGAGGATAATATCAAAACAGGAATAAGAATGCGGTGAAAGTGCCCGTTTTCCGTCACTTTCTCAACATTTTCGTCGTAAACATCATGAAGAATCGGAGGCGATACATAAGGATTTGTGAACATAAAATTAAATAATAAATGTGACCTACACGAGTCCGGATTCATAACCACCCTCTTACTGCAGACATAATAACACATGTCAAGTATCGATTTAAACATTAAATGACAAAAGGATAAAGCTATCGGCTTTGCTCAATCCCTGAAGGATGCGCCATGCATTCGACTCCATTCATAGCATCCTTGGCGGTGAGTGGATGCACACCTGGACCTTACAATAACTCGCGGTAGCCTATCGATGCATTGAGTCGGTGTTGCCATCCTCCCAGGCAACCCTGTTACCAATTTGCCGACATCGAGGGGATGGAAGGCTCGATGAGTCTGGGGCACGGGATCAATCTCGTGTTTATTACAGGGCGCCACTGACCACTCCTCCACATGAGCCCCTTTATTTAAACATTATATGACATAATAACTATAAACTTACATAATTGACTCGCATTATAAACGTAATGTATCATGAAGATACAAATAGTTGGATGGAAACAAGTTTTTCGAAAGGAATCCATGAACAAAACTCTTAACGCCATCATTGGAATATCGGCACGAATATATAAGCATTAAGCACATTAGTAAACATATTAAGCCTTAAGAACTTAGAAATGTTGTCCCTGTAGTCAATTTATGGATGCAACAACAACTGACTTTTTGGGATCTTCATAGCTACTTACTCGCTACTTCCTCAAAATAAAAGCTTACCTAAACAATAGGTAATATATAAACCTTTACAGGTATCAGTCAACTACTACATCACAGACTATACAAGGATTTGGCAGAATGACGACTTGTACTGAACAAACAGTACTGCGCGCATCACTGCAAAGCAAATCGTCTATACGAAGGAATTCATCTCACCATTGACGTTTACCACTTCCGCCATGAGTCATTATTGTTTATTTTATTGTCAGTTACTTGGATACTTGGATGGTCCGACTTCACTGGTTATGCGGGCCCAAGAAAAATCTCCACTTTTTTCAGATTTCTGCTAGTTTAGCCACTGTGGATCTTTGGAGCCCTGAGGACAGGCTAGCCAAAGTCTGCCCCAGGTAGTGACCACCACAGGCACTTTCCGCCCTTGTGGATCAGAGGGAGATTTGCCACCAAGCGACTACTTTGATACCGGACGGTGGTAGAGCCTGGTATCGGTTTACTCTTATCCGGGCTTCTCGATGGAAACGCCGAACTCGTTCTCAGCTTGGGAGACCCTGCTGCAGGGATGAATCCCTCACCTGGGCTTCGCATCCCGACATCTAGGAACACATCCCAGCCAGGATGAAGCGATAAACCGTTGGGTTTATTGTCACACTTATATCAAAGGAAATCTTTATGTTAAAGAAAACGTTCCCATAACATTTCCGTCAGCATTTCTATCACTACAGTACTCATTTACACAAAGGCAAAACTTAGCTCGATAAGAAATCCTGCAAAGAAAATCCTAAACCAATCTATCGACAAAGAGAGGAATGCGACTGAACTATTAAGGACTTACAGTAAGTAAACTGACTACTATAACTAACAAAAACTTACTTAATAAACGGCACTCAGGAATGGAGTCTTCCCTTTCACAGAACCACGATCACTTTCTAGAAGAGTAAGCACTCATGAAGTTATTTAAAGAAAGATAGAGATAGTTCAGAACCGGCCTAACAGTAACTAGTCGGACAGAACAAATGAGAAACGGCAAAAATAACAATAAACATGCGAATATGAGTAATAAAAAACGATAAAAAGTACTTTAAATTCTCAGTACTGCGCAGTTTTGCAACAAGTCTGTAACGACTTTCTAGAACAGAAATAACAGAACCTGCCCTTACTATGACAAAATTTAGTTGTCCTAAATACAATCACTTCAAATTTGTGACAGTCCTGTAGAATATAACTACTGCCTTCTTTCTTAGACGTAACAAGTTTAATAACATAAGGAAAACAAGTTTAAAATACGGTAAAAAGGAAACAATAACTACAGTAATATAATACCTTTGCTAGAACTCATCCATACTGTAAAATTCTAATAGCTCATTCCTTGCAGTTATAAGTAATTATCGTAGTTTCTTCTTCTTGAATCCAGGAAACTATAGCGCTATGACTGGATTTGAACCGTTCGCCACTAAATGAAATGAGTCAGACTGGCGCTCGGACGTGATTATTGCTATCCGTGATGAACCGATTAGCCGTGGAGCGCCATTCTATCTGATATAATCCGTTCAACTCGTATTGTTACTAGCATTCTTTTATTAGAGTATTTAAGTTAATTCGAAAACGTCAACTGAGATTAGTTTGAGTAGTATTTGGAGCAGTTCACAATTGAACCTCGTTTTAACGTGCGGTGTTAAGGAATTGCTTTAATTAATTTGTTTACATGACACGTTTAACCCATACCAAACGGATCTCAGCACTTCTTTTATTCGAATGGCTGTCTTAGATCCGTCATCCACGACTTTCTTCCGATTTTTGTGTGGATGTCGGACCTTAAGCTACTACTTAAGGACTTTGTCTTTTTCATGAATACTATAGGGAGCGTGTGGCGCAGTGGTCGGAAGCGCCCTGCAACACATACGTGAGATTGACCTCCGCGCCCCTGTCCCACCAAGCCTTCCATCCCTCTGGGGTCGGTAAATTGGTACCAGACTTGTCTAGGAGGAAGCAGAGGCTCGATACATAGGTAGGAAGGTCAGATATTCATTCAATCACCTCCAAATGATGCTTAATGAAGTCGAAAGCTTGGAGCATCCCTCAAGGTTTGATCAATGCCGAGAACTTTATCTTTTATCCTTGTCCATGAATGCGGTTGATTGTTGGTCGAATTAATCCACTCCGTTGAATACTGGGATAACTTGGCTATGACGTTTCCAGCTACTCACCGGAGGCAACCCTTGGACTTTTTGAATTTGAAACGACTTTTCTCGGATAGGTTTGCTAACACAGCTCTGATTGATGGCGAATTTGGTTGGCCCAGTGTGGGTTCGAATCAAGCACTATGCATTTCTTGTACAGCATCTTAAACCCTGTGCTTGCTGCGTCTCTATTAACGAACAAAATTCTAAAATACTTACTTTACATTTAAATTAAAGACTTATATAAAGGACTCATTACAAATTACCCATCCTTTACGTTCTCACTGTATGTAATAATAAGGTGAGCTCCGACGGATTTTCAATAAATTTTAGAACTGAATTTTATTGCTTGATATTAATTTTCTCATTGACACGGCACTGTTTTCCTTTTATTGATAGCAATATTTCGAATATTTACTAAGCGTCTAGCACCATAATATGGCTGTGCTGTTGAGTCTAAAACTCCGATTTACTACTGCTGCGGTTCGTTGCTTTCTCCAGACGCGTCACCCAAACTGTTCCAGCATTAGACATTTCCATCCGAAAATCCAACTAGAAATAAACTAATTCCATGAATCGTGAGACAATCGATGGGAGGCCAAACGAGCCTCCGAGTACAACGGACGTCATTGGAACTGGGTCAAACGAAGTAATCCACCATACTGCATGGTGATTGTTTCGGCTGTTCTATACCTACATCAGTCTCTTCGAAAACACAGATCTTCACGTTCCCATTGCTATGAGTCCCGTAGAATTCCATGTGGTCGTTCTGAAGCA